CGGAAGAATCTCTGAAGCAGCACTCTGCGCCGAAATCCACGCCGAGCAGCAGGACATGGACCTGCAAGAAGAACGACACAGAAAGAAGACGACAACATCAGAATTCGCTTTTCACACCCAGCGACGCTACAACAACAACAATCATCGACAACAACAACCGAAGCCCGTACCTCCCTTCTGCCACATCTGCAAGACTTCAGGGCACCCGCGCACGCACTGCCCAAATCGTCAACAGTCAACGACTCCGCAGCGGCAGCTACGACCTTCAAGCAATCAAGTCGCATCAACACAGGCGAACCCAACGACTCAGATTCAAGCTTCAACGACCTCAACGGGACAACCTGCACAAGGAGCAAGAAACATCGTCAGCTGCATGGCAAGACTGAGTGACTCCTGCATCACGGAATCACCACCGTACTACTCACCAGAAGAACAGCTCGACGAAATAACACCTCGCCGTGAGCTACTTCAACCGAACCCGACGTACGCCGCCATCGCCCAAAGCGAACCATCCGGAAAAGACACGTGGTTCTTGGACAGTTGCTGCGGCCAGCACATGTGTTCTTCAGGACGCTTCGTACAACGTGAATACCAGCTTCAACGCGAAGTAGTCATCACCGTCGCCAACAACCAAAACCTGCGCACACGACGACAAGGCATAGTACAACTTCAGTCACGTGAAACAAACGTCATCCTGCAGATGTCCAAGGTTTTAATCGCAGAAGGCCTCGGATACAACCTGCTCAGCGTCAGTCAACTGATGGCGAAGGGCATTCATCTTGAAGCAGACAGCACAACTCAGGAGTTCAAGCTGTATCACGGGAGAGGAGGCCTCTACATCGGGAAGGCGGTCCTCAAGAACAACGTTTTCATTCTTGATTCCTGATCTTGGCACGGCCGACAGCGACGCCATTGTAAACTTCACCAACTGGACACATCCTCCGGATCTTGATCCAGACTTCAGTCCGGGCGGCTTCTGGTACTCACACACCATTCCTGAAACAGAGAGAACAAGAGCGTTAGCAACGATTCAACGGTCGGCGGCAGCAGAGACAACATCGGCAGCAGCAGAGACAACATCGGCAGCAGCAAAGACAACATCGGCAGCAGCAGAGACAACATCGGCAGCAGCAGAGACAACATCAGCAGCAGCAGAGACAACAACAGCAGCAGCAGGAACATCAACACCAGTCGCCGGTCCTTCAACGACACCGCCCGTCATCGACAACACGTCACCAACACCCGCGCAGCAGCTCAACCCGGCACGATGAGAAGTCCACCGAAGCGCAAACGTCTCCACCGGCTTCTACTCCAACTCCGATATGTACCGCCGCTCACCCGGACACCGCGCCAGCGAGGGAACCTGGCACGCAAGAATGTAACATCCAAGCCACACAGTGTTAAACAACACAATAAGAGCAGGAGCCCTCGACAAAGACTCACTTCTACTGACCGACGGCAGAGAACTTCAACGAGCTCGAGGAACATGCTTCACCTGCCCCGAAGCAGACTTAACGCATCAACCGTTCCCATCTCACCACAATCCAAGCGCACCAGCTTACGCACCACTCGAAAAGGTGTACAGCGACATTCTGTAGAACCGCGAGCCCGGAAAAAACACCTACAACTACACGATTACCTTCATCGACGCCGCGACCAGATACGTCTGGCACGTCAACCTACCAAGCCGCGACATGGCCTTCGAAGCGTTCGTCGCGTGGCTTCCTGCAGCAGAGAGAGAATCGGGCGTAAAACTGAAAAGTTTCCAGTCAGACGGAGGAGGAGAATACACCTCACAGAGGTTCAAGGACTACTTGGCAGAGAGGGGAATCAAGCGGCTCATCTCCCTTCCCTACGCCCATCAACAACAAGGCGTAGCAGAAAGGATGAACAGGACACTCCAAGCCACCATGCGCAAGCTGCTACGTGGCATGCATCTGCCCAACCACCAGTGGCCCGAAGCAATGGACCACGCCGTCATGCTGCACAACTTGCTCTCGTCATCATCGCTCCCGAACAACGCATCACCGCACCTGCTGTGGACAGGAAAATTGGGCAGCACAAAAATGTTGAGAGTCTTCGGCTGCATGGTACAGTACCGACCCCCATCTGCACGCGCCGGCCGATTCTCCCAACGTGCACAGTGGGGAGTACACCTGGGCATCGAAAAACACTACAACGCGTGGAAAATCTTCGACATCAACAGCAAAGAAACAGTCGCAGCACGTGATGTCCTTTTCTACGAGAACCTCACCCTCGACGTTCACCTCGCCTACGTAAGAGCAAACAGACCTGATCCCTCGGGCGGATTCACTGGAACCCGAGCCTTCGCTTCGGCAGAAGACGAAGCTGACTGGGACGAGCAGAACGTGGACGGAGCCTCGGAAGAAGCCGGACCACTACCGTACTGCTGGGTAGACGTACCAATGGACGACGACAACCCTCGCGAAAGCATCAACGCCGAAGTCTTCTACAAACTCGCCGACGACGGTTACGTTACACCCGAACAAGTCAACACCAACGAAGCAGAACGTGTAGGGCCCAATTTCGTACCTGATCCAGAAGCTGGAGACGAAGCAGTCTATCCCGAGGACACCACACTCCCCCGCTACACACAGAGTGGACTCCAAATCCTTGGACTCGTCACCGCAGTCCACGGCGCCGCCATTCCTAAGGAGCCTGCAACGGTTCAGCAGGCTCTGGGGGGGGAGCACAGGGAAAAATGGCGCGAAGCCATGGACAGGGAGCTGAAGGCCTTAGAAGAACGTAACACCTGGAAGGTCGTCCCCATCAGCGTAGCACGAAACAAGACAATACTCACCGGGAAATGGGTCTTCCATGTGAAGACGAAAGCTGACGGCACCATCGACAAGTTCAAAGCACGCTGGGTCGTACGCGGCTTCGACCAAGAACACGGACGCGACTTCACCGAAACCTTCGCTCCGGTCAGCCGCCACACTTCACTACGAATTCTCCTCGCGATCGCTGCTATGTAGAAGAAGAAGCTGAGACAAATCGACGTCGCGAACGCGTTTCTTTACGCACCTGTGGATGCAGAAATCTTCGTCGAGCTACCGCACAGATCCCAGGGAGAGCCCAACCAAGTCTGCCAGCTGCTCAAATTGCTCTACGGCATCAAGCAGGCCCCGCGACTGTGGCAACAGTACCTGCACGCTCGTCTCATCCGCATCGGCTTCAAACAACTGCCGCACGATCAGGGCATGTACCGGCTCACGAAGAACGACGACTACGTCCTGCTAATCGTCTACGTGGACGATCTCCTCTACATCGGGTCAACTGACGGCATCACCACCTGGTTCGAAGGGGAGCTGCAGCAAGACCTTACGCTCACGGTCTCGCCTACCGTCACTCAGTACCTCGGCCTCAACATCCGAGAAGAAGAGGACGCAATCTACCTCAGCGCCGAGAAGTACGCCGACACCATCGCCAAGCGCTTCGCTCTCACACCGACCGCGATCTCCACGCCATACCGCTACACGACAGGAACCGACAAGGGAGGATCCGCTCTACTCAAACCCGCCGGCATACGCGACTATCAGAGGAAGCTAGGATGCCTCCTCTTCGCAGCCGTTACCTGCCGTCCCGACCTCTCATACTCCGCAAGCCAGCTCGCCACCTACCTCAAGAAGCCCGAAGCAGAACACCTAGCGGAGCTCGACCGCGCTCTTCACTACTTCATCAGCACCCCGACGATCGGCCTAACTTACTACAAAAACGCAACTGCACCGACTAAGCTAATCAGCTACGTCGACGCAGATCACGCCGGCGACTCCGATAACAGGCGTTCACGCACCGGCTACATCTATCGCCTCGAACCTATCGGTCCTATCTCCTGGCAGTCGAGCAAGCAGGAGTTAATCGCGCTATCATCAGCTGAAGCAGAATACATTGCACTCTGCTCAGCCACCAAGGAGGGACTTTATCTTCGCGAGCTACTGGAAGAAGCGAAGTTAGCCGAGTTACCCAACTTCTCCCTGTTCTGCGACAACCAGTCAGCAATTCGCATCGCCAACAAGAACGGCTTCGCGAACAGGACGAAACACATCGCCCTACGCTACTTCTTCGTGAAGGACGAGATCGAGAAGGGGAGACTCGAGCTGTCATACTGCCCCACGTCCGAGATGGCAGCCGACTATTTGACCAAAAGACTCGGAAAGCAGAAATTCGAGTACTGTATGCTGCTGACTGGACAGAGCCACGTCATCAGCAGCGACACTCCAGAAGCGAAGGGGAGTGTTGGAAACAGTGAAACTTAAGCGCTTCAGTCGTGTCGAAACATCGCACCAGAAGTGAAGAAAACAATACCGAAGCAAGCGCGAGTCAACCCTCGGAGGTTGAGAGGTTGCTGGAGGTTACGCGAAAGTCAAAGGTCAAGCGACCTTTGACCTGACAAGTGCAGCGCGACAGTTAAGGACACACAACTGACTCGTTACAAAGCAGTTGCCCGAGTCGTACTGTATCGAACCGCAACAGCAACAGTAAAGTAGTTATAACTGTATCTCTTCATATTCCTTGTATTATTATATAATCTTGTACTTCCTTGCTATAATCAATCTACTTTGCCCTCACATACTAGCGCAAGGTGGTTCACAAACTCTTCATTAAACGCTTCCTCTATTACAAAGCTCCTACCCAGAGTTCACCCCTGAAAAGATCCTAAGGGCTTATCTCAGCCCAACAAGATGCGCCCTGACACACAACAGAAGTCTGAACGATAAAATCTAGCGAGATCTGAAGTGTGTATACCACGTCATGAAAGTTCAGTTTCGATAATGCACAGCGCATTAGTACTCTCTGATCATGACTTCTCAGCCTGAACAATCAGACTATAACTTCTCGATACTGAGCAATCAGGGTATTCAGTTTCTGGAAAATATGCACCCATAACATAATACAGGGGGGGGTTTTTTCCCGAAATCAGGGAGGCCTAATTTGAAACGTCAGCCCTGCCTGGCCCTCGGTTGCTGGCACGTTCACATTCACGTGTTTGTTGGAAGTGCGGATGACATGAGCTTGCTGCTGATGCCTGCAGCCAGCCGGCGGTATGCATCGCTGTGCAGCCCCTGTGGCGCCGGCTGCTGCTCACTGCGCTCCACCTCCCACACGTGCTGCTCCAGGGAACGTGCTGCTGCTGCATCGCCTGCCAACCCGTGCGCCCCACCCCCTGCCTTCTCCTCCCTCTGCTCCATGTGCCACCCGCCTGCCTGCATATGTCTCTCACCCACCGTATTGCTCAAACCGCCTCCATGCCTCCCCCTCCCCGCCTCCAGGGGCACACACCCCAGTGCATCAACATGGCCGCCCTCCTCCCACCCATCACTGCCTGCCCACCTGTCCACGCCACACCCAGCGCCCCACCACCCCGCCACCACCCTCTCTGCTGCTGCTGCTACCTCGCCTACCCCTGCCCGCCCTGCCCCTTGCTCACCCCGCACCACCCACCGCCCTTCCCTGCCAGCAGCACGCACCCCTGCCAGCAAGCCCGCACTGCCAGCATGCGCCTCGCCCCCCTCGCAGCCTCCCTGCCCCTCCTCCCCGACGCGCTGCTGCCCCGCCATCCCCCCATCCACCACTGCTGCTCCCACCCGTGCACCAGGCAGTGTGAAGGGTGTGGGGGGCGCGTGCATGGGGGCCGCGTGCATGGGGTAGAGCAGCAGCGCCCTGGCCCTGGCTGCTGCTGCGAGCGCATGTGAGCCGCGCACGTTCTCTGCTGCACTGCCCCACTGCACACCCATGCACATGGCACAGCAGCATGTGAGGGGAGGGGAGGGCCATGTCAGTGCAGAGAGGGGCGATGCGAAGCAGTGAGAGGGGCGATGCGAAGCAGTGAGAGGGGCCATGCGAAGCAGTGAGAGGGGCGATGCGAAGCAGTGCGAGGGGCGATGCGAAGCAGTGAGAGGGGCGATGCGAAGCAGTGCGAGGGGCGATGCGAAGCAGTGAGAGGGGCGATGCGAAGCAGTGAGAGGGGCGATGCGAAGCAGTGAGAGGGGCGATGCGAAGCAGTGAGAGGGGCGATGCGAAGCAGTGAGAGGGGCGATGCGAAGCAGTGCGAGGGGCGATGCGAAGCAGTGAGAGGGGCGATGCGAAGCAGTGCGAGGGGCGATGCGAAGCAGTGAGAGGGGCGATGCGAAGAATTACCATGAGATACAATGCGGGGAGCACAGTTTGTGAGCCATTGATACAATGCGATGCGGGCACACCAGCTCAATGCACAGCACACGCCCCCCACACAACAGCTGAATGACCCACCCCCCAAGACCCACCCCCTAAGACCCACCCGCCTGGCGGCCTCCTTGAAGGCTTCGCGGTGGTCCATGTCGGGGTTGCCCGCGCGCAGACGCATCATCTCATCCCTGCGCCCAGCAAGGCAGGGTGGAGGACAGGCGGCGAGCCAGGCACGCGAGGGACAGGCAGAGACGGGACGGAGCAGAGCAGGTTTCAGGCACGTGGAGAGAATGCAGAGGAGGGAGAAGTGGAGAGTTGTGGATGGAGCAAGAGGCGCAGAGCAGCAAGAGGAGCAGAGCAGCAAGAGGAGCAGAGCAGCGAGAGGAGCAGAGCAGCGAGAGGAGCAGAGCAGCGAGAGGAGCAGAGCAGCGAGAGGAGCAGAGCAGCGAGAGGAGCAGAGCAGCAAGAGGAGCAGAGCAGCGAGAGGAGCAGAGCAGCGAGAGGAGCAGAGCAGCGAGAGGAGCAGAGCAGCGAGAGGAGCAGAGCAGCGAGAGGAGCAGAGCAGCGAGAGGAGCAGAGCAGCAAGAGGAGCAGAGCAGCAAGAGGAGCAGAGCAGCGAGAGGAGCAGAGCAGCAAGAGGAGCAGAGCAGCAAGAGGAGCAGAGCAGCGAGAGGAGCAGAGCAGCGAGAGGAGCAGAGCAGCGAGAGGAGCAGAGCAGCGAGAGGAGCAGAGCAGCAAGAGGAGCAGAGCAGCGAGAGGAGCAGAGCAGCAAGAGGAGCAGAGCAGCAAGAGGAGCAGAGCAGCAAGAGGAGCAGAGCAGCAAGAGGAGCAGAGCAGCGAGAGGAGCAGAGCAGCAAGAGCAGCAGAGCAGCAAGAGGAGCAGAGCAGCGAGAGGAGCAGAGCAGCGAGAGGAGCAGAGCAGCGAGAGGAGCAGAGCAGCGAGAGGAGCAGAGCAGCGAGAGGAGCAGAGCAGCGAGAGGAGCAGAGCAGCGAGAGGAGCAGCGCAGCGAGAGGAGCAGAGCAGCGAGAGGAGCAGAGCAGCGAGAGGAGCAGAGCAGCGAGAGGAGCAGAGCAGCGAGAGGAGCAGAGCAGCGAGAGGAGCAGAGCAGCGAGAGGAGCAGAGCAGCGAGAGGAGCAGAGCAGCGAGAGGAGCAGAGCAGCGAGAGGAGCAGAGCAGCGAGAGGAGCAGAGCAGCGAGAGGAGCAGAGCAGCGAGAGGAGCAGAGCAGCGAGAGGAGCAGCGCAGCGAGAGGAGCAGAGCAGCGAGAGGAGCAGAGCAGCGAGAGGAGCAGAGCAGCGAGAGGAGCAGAGCAGCGAGAGGAGCAGAGCAGCGAGAGGAGCAGAGCAGCGAGAGGAGCAGAGCAGCGAGAGGAGCAGAGCAGCGAGAGGAGCAGAGCAGCGAGAGGAGCAGAGCAGCGAGAGGAGCAGAGCAGCGAGAGGAGCAGAGCAGCGAGAGGAGCAGAGCAGCGAGAGGAGCAGAGCAGCGAGAGGAGCAGAGCAGCGAGAGGAGCAGAGCAGCGAGAGGAGCAGCGCAGCGAGAGGAGCAGAGCAGCGAGAGGAGCAGAGCAGCGAGAGGAGCAGAGCAGCGAGAGGAGCAGAGCAGCGAGAGGAGCAGAGCAGCGAGAGGAGCAGAGCAGCGAGAGGAGCAGAGCAGCGAGAGGAGCAGAGCAGCGAGAGGAGCAGAGCAGCGAGAGGAGCAGAGCAGGCACCGGATGAAGAGGTTGTAGGTGGACGCCTTGCGATGCCTCTTCACAGCCACCCCTCCCTCTCTCCCTGCTGCCTTGCTGCTTGCCCTGCCACCCCTCTGCTCTCCCCCCTTGCAGCTCTCCTCCTCCCCGCTGCCATCACCCACCTCCTCGGACCCCTCCCTTGCCACTGCTTTAGACCCTGCCATGCCATGAGAGGGTGCACATGCCATGCGATGAATGGGTGCACGTGGCGAGGCATGCAGCGAGGGAGAGTGAACACGAGCTGCTGGAGCGTGCAGACGGAAGAAAGATGCGCGAGCAAGATTCGCCAGTGGGCTGCGCGTACCAGTGAGAGTGGCAGGTGGGCTGCGCGTACCAGTGAGAGTGGCAGGTGGGCTGCGCGTACCAGTGAGAGTGGCGGCTCGCTTGCGCTTCCTCAGCGCGCGCTGCGTCCGCTTGCTCTCCGCCGCACTCCCTGCCCCGCCCACCCCCCCATCGCTGCGCGCTGCCGCCTCTGGCGAGTGGGCGGCGAGAGCGAGGTGGGCAGGCGTGAGCGGCAGGGCGCGGTGCAGCCCCGCCGCACAGTGTGGCACCGCGGGCAGGTGCATGCGCGGCGGGAGTGGCTGCAGGGGGGATCGGACGAGGGGCAGATGAGAAGGATTGGAGAGGAATCGACATAGACGGGAAAGAGGGTGGGTCTGACAGAGAGAGAGGGAGAGGGAGAGAGAGAGTGAGAGAGAGAGAGAGAGAGAGAGAGAGAGAGAGAGAGAGAGAGAGAGAGAGAGAGTAAATTGTGGATTCCTTGTGCACCGTGTAGCCCGCCTCCGCCGCAATCCTTGCGCACTCATCACGAAGAGCATGGTGAGTGGCAATTCTCCCGCCGCCTTTCTCGCAACGCATTAGGTGGTTGGGGAGGCGGTGGTCCGGGAAGGTTGTGCGGTGACGGCAGTCGCAACGACGAGGGACAGGTAGGGGGAGGCCTAGCCGGAAGGAGGATGCGGTGGCGTGCTGCGGGGGGCCGAGGCGAAGAGCTGGGGTCAGGGGGATGGCCAGCAGCCAATCTCCTGCCCCGGGGCCGAGGAGTGATTGCAGGCGTTGGGTGTGGCCGAAGAGCGGGTTCAGAGGCATCTCCCGCGAGGCATCGAGCACCTCGATGTAGCGAGCGGTGTGAACGGCCAGCGACAAGGCCTGCTGTAGCTTCAGGCCATCTGTACCGCGCCGGCCGGCCTGTAGAGCCTCCAGCCCATCCGGGGGCAGCGTGGCCTCTGCCGCTGCAAGGCGCCGAGGCAGGACCGAGGGTGAGTCGGCGTTTGCATCCAGTAGCGGCAGCAGCTGGTCTATTGCGGGGTGCAAAATGTCACCGAACGAGCGCAGCAGGTGGGCGGAGGAGATGACCGAGGCTAGGTAAGCGAACACCCCTTCCGTTGCTGGATTGGTGATGCCGAGGCCGCCCAGTGTCACGGGTAACGCGGCCTGCCGCCAGATTCTCCCCCGCTCCGCCTCATCCCGCGGTATCGCCGTGTGCGCCGCGGTCAGGTACGTGTGCAGCAGCTGCTCCCCCCACGCCGACCAAGTGTCTGCTGGCAGCACCTCCAGGGGCGTTGTCCTAACCAGGTACGAGGCGCGGCGGCTCACGCAGCGTGTCAGGAGGAGCAGGCTCAGCTGCGGATCCATTTGTGAGAGGAGCGGAAGTGGCTCTGCTGCTGCCGACAGGCGCTCCTGCACCAAGGCCGCGCATCCTGCCTGCGGCCCGATTGGGCTCCCCAAGACGCGGATCCCATCCGCCGAGAAAGGTACGTGCGCAGGGAGGGAGGCGGGGTCAGTGTGCGCGGCTGACCACGCCGCGCACTTCTCGGGGTTGTGTTCCAGGCCGAGGGATAGCAGGGCGGTGGTGAGGTGAGTGAAAGCCTCCGTGCACGCCTCAGCTTCCCCCAGGAGAGTAATGTCGTCAGCGTACGCGAGAAAGACGACTCCCGGATGTGCTTCCGCCGCAGCTACCAGGCAAGGGTGTATGCTAGCGGCGAAGAGAAGCGGGCCCAGCGGGTCCCCTTGACGTACGCCGCGCGCGGACTGCACAGGGGGGATGCCTTAGCATCCTGGCGCCGGCGTAGAAGAGTCTAGCACGAAGACAGGGTAACGGGGAGGAGGACGTGAGTCACTAGGTCATGGGTGGCTTACTTGCTCGTGTGTTAGATACTTACATGCATGCCTGTACTTGTACGGATAGAATACAAAGGACCGTTCGAGAGAGAGAGGGAGAGAGATGAGGAGGAGGAGGAGGAGGAGGAGAAGGAGGAGGAGGAGGAGGAGGAGGAGGAGGAGGAGGAGGAGGAGGAGGAGGAGGAGGAGGAGGAGGAGGAGGAGGAGGAGGAGGAGGAGGAGGAGGAGGAGGAGGTCCGCCCAGCCACGCACCTCATGGCCCAGCCACGCACCTCAAGGCCCATGCCCTCCTGCAGCCGCATCTCCCCAGCAACAGCCAGCTGGCCGCGCGGGCCACTCCCCACCGATGCTACCGGCGCGCGCAGCACAGCAGGCAGCAGGCGGCGCGGTGTGCGTGGCAGCCCGGCGCTGACGCCCGCTGTGGGGCTGCTGTCGCGGTGGGTGCGCTCAACGGACTCCACCGCCGCTGCCACCGCCTCGCCACACGCGTGCACACTGCTGCCAGCAGCCAGCAGGGCGAGAGCCCCTGCCGGCCCGTCACTGCTCAGCGCACCTCTGTGGCCGCTCGGCCCCCCGCCAGCAGCTGCCACGTGCACCCTGGCGCTGTGAGGCGGTGTGAGCGGGCGAGAGCAGCGCGTGATGGTAGACAGCGCGGTGGAGGGCAGCGCGAGCAGCGCGGAGCAGTGGCCGCAGAAGAGCGTGCAGATGGCCTCCGCGGGGATGGCGGCAGGCATGTCGACCTGAGGGGATGCGAGTGAAACGGGACGAGGCGATGATGGCAGGACACGTGATAAGGGGATGGGATGATGGGGTGAGAAGAATACGAGGCAAGGAAAAGAACGACAAGGTCAAGGAAAAGAACGACAAGGTCAAGGAAAAGAACGACAAGGTCAGGGTAAAGAACAATCGCAAAGGAGAGAATATAAGGAGGGTGCAGACCTGAAGCAGGGAGGAGCAGTGGACGCACGTCACAAGGGCCGCAGCAAACGGCCCCTCCACCTCGGCCCCCCCACCCTGCTCCCCACCCACCGCGCCCTCCCCCATCTCGTGTCCCCCTCCCCCTGGCTGCACTGATGCTGCCGCTGCCCTCGCCCGGTCGCCCACCGCCTCTGCTGCCGCGCTGCCACGTGCCACTCCCTCTGCATCGCCCCCGCCTCTCCCACTGCCACTGCCACTGCCGCCTGCGGCACCGCTCCTCGCCCCCGTGCCACCGCCCATGCCCCCGGTGCCAGCACTGCCACTGCCATCGCTGGGCAGCCCAGAGACCAGGCGCGCCCCCAACGCATGCCACACACCCGACCCGCACGCCCCGCCGTCGGGGCTGCAGCACGCGGCGCCAGGGGCGGGGCTGGCGGGCAGCGCGGGGGCGCCCCCAGCGGCAGCAAGCAGGTCGCCGCACGAGCCGATCTGAGAGAGGTCCGCCGCCCCCACGGCGCCCTCGCCCTGCCCTGCCCCCATGATGCTGTGAGCAACGGGGTGCAGGGGAGGGGCGTGCATGGAAGGGCAGGCGGGCAGGTGCAGGGGAGGGAGGGCGAGGGGCGGCAGGGGGAAGGCGGGGAGCAGGCAGTCGTCCCAGTGGGCGTCGTCGTGCAGCACTCGCAGCCAGTCGTCCGAGCCAGGGGCCCCCCCTGCTGCCATGGCCTCCCCTTCCACCGCTGCAGGGCGCTCCATTGCTGCCACAGTGCTCTCGTGGGCAGCATCAGCATGAGCAGCGATAGCGAGAGCAGTGCCACTCGTGGCACCCGCAGCAGAGTCTGGATTCGCGGCAGTAGGGGCAGTAGGGGCAGTAGGGGCAGCAGCGTTAGCGGGGGCAGCTGAGGGACTGAATGAATGGGCACAAGCGTTGCTGGTTGCATCGCCACTGGCAGCAGCGAGAGCAGCACCATCATTCCCCCCCGCCACGCCGTTAGTGCGACTCGGTGCTGCCTGCCAACCTGTGCCCCCACCCGCCCACTCCGCCTGCTCGCCCTGCTGTCCCTCTTCGCCTTCCTTGCACCTCCCGCCTCCTCCATCACGTGCCTCGCCTTCCTGCGCATGCCACTGCCCGCCTTCCTTCCTCCTCTCCTCGCCCTCAACTGCTCCTCCCGCGCTCTTCCCTCCCCCCACGTCACCCGCCTTCCCCTCACGCGCATCGCACGCTCCCGCAGCGGCCGCATCGTCTGCGTTGCCGTCGTCGTCGGCCAGCAGCAGGCGAGTCACGTCCGCCAAGGCCAGCTGCCCCGTTAGCCGCCTCGCATCGCCCTCGCCCTCGCCCTCGCTCCCTCCCATCGCCCACTCGTCTCGCTCCTCTAGCCACGCCATGCCTCTTCCAACGCGTGTGCCACTCGCGCCCTCCCGCACAGACGCGCTCTCGCCGCGCCACACGCGCCGTCGCTGCTCTCACAGTGGATGAGCGAGAGAGCGAGAGACGACGAGCGGCGTAGAGGGTGGCGGCAGCAGCAGGAGTGGCGGCAGGCGGGGAAGGCGTGGTGGATGCGACGGACGGTGGGAAGGCGTGGTGGACGCGACGGTGGGAAGGCGTGGTGGACGCGACGGTGGGAAGGGGCGAGACGCGATGAGCACAGCGGCGTCGCTGCTCGCCTCGCCGCTCGCGTCCCATTAAATGCCCCTCCCATCGCCTCGCCTCTCCCCCCTTCATCTCAACAGCGACTCGCTATTCTGCGCTCGCGCGAAGTCCAGCGCACTTGCTGTCTCCGCTGGGTGGCGTGAGGGGCGGACGCAGAGGCGGAACAACACTCCCACCGTCCCGCGCCCATCTGTTCCGCCGCGTCCCCATCGCCCGCCCACACACCGCCTGCCGTATCCGCTTCTCGAGCAACGCCGCGGCGAGACCCAGGTGGGGGGAGGGCTGCCGCGCCAACCTGGAAGTGCGCGACGCATTCGCGATGAACATCGCATGTCGCTCTGCGACTTCAGCGATCCTCTGATTGGAGAGGGGCCACACCGTACGTCTTTCGGCGACGAGATGAGCAGCCCTGTAGGGCGACTCGGCGGGGAGCGTTGTGCGATTTACAGCTCGGCGGCGCGAGGTTGAGAGAAGCAGCAGCGTGACGTGAGAATCAAGAACGCACCCTCCAAGCGGGTAGATGCCTGGCGCATCCCCTCCTTGGGGAAACTCGAAGCACGCACCAACCTTCGATAGCTCCGCCACTAGATCCATTCATTGGGATATGTTACGACTTATGTAAAGTGTTTAGAGTTTGTTACTAGTGAAATTGAACCATTGAAGTTGGGATTGAACTAATGGCTCAAAGAATACTGTGAGCAAACACTCAATAGCTAAGAGATGCAAACAGCAGCGAGGTAGTATATTCAGGGCTGGCTGCGAGGTTCGGGTTATTTCCGAAGCATAGGCCGACCTAGACCTGTAAAACAATAGTATGGCAAGATGTGGCGAAACCAGGAGTAACGTAGACTCATTGAACAATGTTGTACAGGGTGGTGTCAGCCTCGTAACGACTTTACAAAAGTACTCAGATTACCTTCTTCCTTGATAACCCTCCGCTGCGTCAGAGAGTATAGTCAAATATAGTGAGTTGTATTGTATAGGGTACAATAATACTATCGAGATTCCTACTTGTACCCACTTTCCCTACTACGGTACTTGATCAATTCCACACTTTCGTAACTATAAGATGGTATCAAGAGGTTACGGTACCTGTTTCTTAGGGCAGCAGACGGAGCTGGGAGGGTGGCGTGGTAACATGGTTAGCAGTGATGCGACACGTGTGTGTGCTTGCGAATGTTGTTTGTGTGGTGTGAATGTCAGAGGTCCACTGGTGATCCCCGATTGATCCTAGAGAAGGGTTACAGGCATGGCGGCCTGGGGGGTTATGGGCGCACTCACCCGCTACATAAACAAGCCCTTTTATCCCAGTGGTTAGTGGCTGGGATTCTGACATGGTATCAGAGCGAAGGTCTCGGGTTCGAATCCCGGTGTGTGCACCTCGGGCATCCCAGTGCGGGGGGGTGTCAGAGGTCCACTGGAGATCCCCGATTGATCCTAGGGAAGGGTTACAGGCACGTTGGCCTGGGGGGTTATGGGCGCACTCACCCGCTACATAAACAAGCCCTTTTATCCCAGTGGTTAGTGGCTGGGATTCTGACATGTTATCAGAGCGAAGGTCTCGGGTTCGAATCCCGGTGTGTGCACCTCGGGCATCCCAGTGCGGGGGGGTGTCAGAGGTCCACTGGTGATCCCCGATTGATCCTAGGGAAGGGTTACAGGCATGGCGGCCTGGGGGGTTATGGGCGCACTCACCCGCTACATAAACAAGCCCTTTTATCCCAGTGGTTAGTGGCTGGGATTCTGACAGTGAATGCGTAAGTTTCGTTTCGTTTGCATTCCCTGAGTCCATGAGGAGCTGGAAGACAATATCGACAGCTGGAGGCAGAACCGATACACTTTAGCAGATAAGATATGGTGGAAGGGAGAGAGGTTCGGCAGGAAGCAAATCAGCCGCTAGCGCAAGGGCGTCAGCATACCAGGAGCCGGAGGAAAGGTCGAGAGGAGAAGGCCGACCATGCCACAACTGCGGGCTGCCGGGCCAACTCCGCAGGGACTGTCACAATCCGGCGGCATGCTCATTATGCGGAGATTGCGACCACATGCGACGAGAGTGCCCCGAGGCGCCAGTTTTGTGCTAGATGTGGGTGGCGTGGGCATCGAGAGGCGGATTGCTATGCAAACCAGAGGGAGCGGCGAAGAGCCGCGGGAGGAGAAGACTGACAAGCCACCATGGCACGCTCAAGGGCCCAGCTAGCGGAGCTGGAAGCTGCAGAGGAGAAGAAACCCGCGATGGTGGCACAAGAGGAAGAGGAGCCGGATGAGCCGGAGTTCATGCTGATGGTTCAGCCCCCAGTGATCGACAAAAAAAAGGCCTGAGGAGCGGCGCACGGAGGCGGCTATTTCCAGAGGTTGAATGGTGGGATGATGGCCCAAGGAGGCAGGCCAGCGAGGATGAGGAGGAGGAAGGTGCGGCGTATCGACCACGAGAGCGAATGACCTGTCAAGCCAGTCCTGACGATTGAGCCAGGGGCGGTCACGATCGGAGGATTGAGAGCGCAACGGGAAATCGTAGATACGGGAGCGTCACATGTGTTGATCGGGAAATGCTTGGCAGAGAAGTTGCAACTGTACAAACCAGGACAATTAATAGCAGAAGGGTACCTCCTGATGACCTCGGACGGAGGGGGGGGGGGGGGGAGGGGCGAAGTAGATGCCGAAGACGAGGCAATCCATGGTGATGATGCTTAACCAGGAATGCTGGAGGAGTGCGCGCTGAGGGTCTATAGCGGGGTGTCGAAGTCGGAAGACTTCGATATGTTAATCGGCGTGGAATTCCTCTTCAGAGTAGGGTCGACAATATGCATGTGAGAAGCGAAGGTTTAGTACTGAAATTAGGGTTTAGGGTGAAACGAGGAACGAGGCCCATTGGTACGCTGCCGTTGCGGTTCGTGCGGGAGAAACCAAGGGAGGCATACCAGTGCACTGAGTCGAAAATGCACGAGGAATTGGGGGAAATCACGTGGCAATAGATTGCAAGGTTGTCGGCACCACCTGCGGGGGAAGGAGAGGTAGAGATTGAGCTGAAATTGCTCTGCACTAACACGAAGAGGCTACTGGGGCCCGCAGTCGTACTCGAGCTTTTCGGAGGCATATGCACTGGGTTGGCGGCGCTGCTGAAGTCGGGAGCGCACGTGGACAAATGGATATTGGTGGAAAGTGACATGGAGGCGGTGAAGATGGCTTGGTGTCATGCAGAGAAGATCTAGAAGATGTACCCGCATCAGTTTTGCGAGGTCTCGATGGTGGCGAGTTCCAGGTGTGGAACCTGCAACATATGTCGGATCGATGATATCACCATTAGGTAGTGGGGAAGAAATGACATAGTAATCGCAGGGCGGGAATCTCAAGGTATGTCAAATGACATAGTAGACGCCCACGCAGTTCCTATGCAATGAAGTTGGGAAGCCAAGGCAAGCTTGGCCGACCTTTGTGTCGTTCGAAGAAGCGGCAGCCTTTAGGATGCACGATTGCACACCAGGAACGGGCATGGTATATGACTACCTCGCAGGGGAGTGGCAGGAACCGAGTGCTCTGGAATGGGAGCTCGCGATGGGCTTCATGGAGGATGCAACGGCTCACCCAGAGGTGACGGAGACGGAGCGGAGGAGGGCGCTGGGAAGGGCCATGGACCTCAACGTCATGCACTGGCTGGTGGCGACAATTCGCATTTACCACTTGCAGTTGCGCTGGCAGTGAAAGCGCGATAAGGCAGCAGCAGTAAGCCCTCGGATAGAGGGATCTGCTGATGCACGAGAATGATGAGGTACAACACGAGCGGGGGCACCCACTAGAGAGGAGGTGGGTGTATCCTTGGGAGGAAGAGGATGAAGTGCCGGTATAATACGCAGAGCAAGTGGAGATAAGGCTACTGAGCAACCGAGAGGAGGAGGCAATGTCAGAATCCCAGCCACTAACCACTGGGATAAAAAGGCTTGTTTGTGTAGCGGGTGAGTGCGTCCATAACCCCCCAGGCCAACGTGCCTGTAACCCTTCCCTAGGATCAATCGGGGATCTCCAGTGGACCTCTGACACCCCCCCGCACTGGGATGCCCAAGGTGCACACACCGGGAATCGAACCCGAGACCTTCGCTCTGATACCATGTCAGAATCCCAACCACTAACCATTGGGATAAAAGGGCTTGTTTGTATAGCGGGTGAGTGCGCCCATAACCCCCCAGGCCAACGTGCCTGTAACCCTTCCTTAGGATCAATCGGGGATCTCCAGTGGACCTCTGACAAGCAATACCCAAGAAGCGGTAATATTTCATCTCGCTCAAAAAAGCAACCGAAAGGCAGAGGAGGAGGGAAAGCTATGAGCGAGAATTTGGCTCGTGGGAATTTGAACTGATGGCAGCAGCGAAGGAGGAAGAGAAGGCAGGAACAGAAAGGCAAGATACAAAGGGGGAAAGATCAGAATTCAGAAGGCAAAGGTGGAGGTGTTGGATTGGGTGGCTACACCAAAGGACAGGAGCACGCTGCGAGCGCTGCTAGGCTTCCTGAACTACTACATGAAGTTCGTGTCGAACTTCAGTAGACGGGCAACCGCACTAAACCATCAGCTCAGAGAAGACCGGAAGAGGGAATGGGGGACGGAGCAGGAGAGGGCAGTGCAGGATCTCATGTGAGCAGTGAAGAACGACGCAGTATTTAAATTGCCGAAAGTGGAGTTTCCCTTCACCTTGTACACAGATTGGAGCAGTGCAGGCATGGGAGCGATCCTAGCGCAAATGATTGTCAAAACTTCTATGCTTACATTGACTTGGGCTATAGTTGGGTTAGCCATAAGAGGGTACATAGTTTTTCTCGACACTTGTTTATACCCACCTTCCTTGACCTAATTACTATACCCTTTTAAGACAAAATAATGAAGGGTGAGGTGGAGAAGGTGGTGGCCTTCACGAGCCTAAGCTGTAATGCCGTGGAAGCTAACTACTCGTCATATGAAGGGAAAGGACTAGCGGTGGTGTGGGTGGTAAAGCACTTTCGGGTGTACCTGCGCGGTAGGAAAATCACACTGGTGACGGATCATCAGCCATTGTTGTGACTAATGCAAACGCCAGATCTAACAGGGCGTAATGCCAGGTGGGCCATGAAGCTTCAAAAGTACGACTTCAAGATCAAGCATCGGCCCGGCAAGACCATGCATCACGTGCATGGTCTCTCGCGGAACCCACCAGAAGTGCAGCTGTCAGCATGCCTGTTGGGTATGACGAAGGAAGCGGATCGAGGAAGAGAATGAGGGGAAATGAAAAGGGGGCCCGCTGACATTTGGGAAGACCAGGCAGCGTTTGCCTGGATCTAGGGGGCAACAACGGAGGAGGGGG